AATGCCTTCTTAAGCAGCCCATAGATTGTGCGATTTTCTTTCCTTTCACCACTGTTGGAAGGAAAGGAAATTACTCGACCACCCCATCAACAACAATTCAGTGTTGATGGGGGAATCCCTCCAGCACAGCTGTTGTGTTTTGCCGGTGGGGAGTCTTTCTGGCCCTCAGAACACGATTACTGCTAGCGACTATAGCCGCTGGCAGTAATCAAATGTAAACAGTCAGACAGGCTGGTTGTACCCAAGTCAATTGATGGATCGACTTGTACCCAAAGTCAATCGATGGATCGACTTGGGTACAACCAGCCTGCCCATAGATGGATTGAATGTGGGCCAGTCGCTGCTGAACCGGCAGAGATTCAATCAATCTATGGCCAGCTTTAGAGAGTTGTTATCGGAACAATCTTCCATTGGGAGATTTTTTCTCTATTGCTGTTCTGGGGGAAACTCAATTTAGGTTTCTCCTTGACTTTAAGTTCCAGTGACAGGGGTCACCAAGATAAATCAAGAGAGTGTATCTCTCTAACAGGAGCTCAGACAGCGATAGAAACCTGGCAGGGTTCTAACCACTGGCTGATGTATCCAAAACTAAAACAAGGTTTTGGCTTTCGATATACAGTACTTTACATAGGAATGAATGGAGGCAATACAAAAAATGATCTCTCCCTTCCGCTACATTTTTCCATTTCACCACTCTGTCCAATTTCATCTTCCCACCAACATCTTTAAAACGGCATTTATCTGTCTATCTATGCATTTTGTTTTTTGCCTGGAGATCCACCTTAAATCCAAATGTAAATCTAATTTCTGTCAGTTTCTCTAATTTATGAAACTGCTCAATTTCTGCAACCTTAGCAATGGCAGTATCTGCTTCACAGACTTTGTCAGATTATAGACACCATAAATTCCAGTGTCACCCGCACTGGCCAGAGAGCAGGTAGAGGGGAAGCAGATGTGCATGTTTTCATTTTAGTACATTTAAAACCTTTTCCTTTTTTTGCGAGTGTCAATATGTCATCATTTTCTCACATTTACATTTAGAAATTACAAGAATTAATTTTAAGTGCAGGAAGATGGCTGGAAATGGTACAGATTCTTTCTATACTAACCAATCATATTTCCTGTTTAATCCTTCATAAATTGAACAGTGAATTCTAATTGGTTACTATTGGCAACAACTCAAGTTAATTTTTTGTTTTTTATGCCCATGGTATAGGGAGGCGCAATCTGTCAGGGCTGCAGTAAGTGCCACTTACGGAGGTGAAGTTCCTGTAGCTACCACAGGGGTAGCTGACGAAGCCATCGGGGAATCGGATGCTGTATGTGTAATAGAGGAACGATCGGAAGTGGTTGCAGGCCAATGTATCGAACATGTCTGCCAATTAAAAAATATACTTTTATACTTGTTGTATATAATATAACCTAATACATGGAAAACTGTAGCCTACTTTTAAAGCTTACCACACATGTTACAGTCTAAATGTACAACCTTCTTGATCTACCAACAAGTATGTAGTGCAGGAGCCTGCCTGATTGGATAGAAATTGATTGGATAGATTAGGTAGATCCTCATATTACATAGTTTTGGTAGAGCTAAAGTTGACAGCATAATGATTGTACTGTCAGATTGTAGGCAAGTGGAAGGTTCGATGTTAAGGCAACCTCTTAGTAGTAGAGTGGTGACATGGGTTGTCTCTTTATAAGGTAGAAGGGGTCTCAGGCTGTGGCTTCTTCCTTTTGGAGTCAGAATGGTTCCACCAAGGAGAGGAACCCGGAGGGAGTCCTATGTGCCCTTCCCTTTGGAAAAGGGTTAGAAGGGAGATCCCAGAGAAAAACCCGGATTAGGAAAGTGAGAAAGCACTGTGGTTGACGGTATAACTACCACAATGTTCTCTCTGTACTCTAATGGGAAAATGTAATAATATTGTTGAGCAAACTTTATGCACCATTAAATGGAAGTCATGCTACCAAATATTTGGACTGTTCTATTTGGATTACTGAAAAGTAGAGAAACTACTTTTACAACAAGAAGCCTTTGTTTTATGTTCTACTGAGAATGATGTTTAAGTACAGACAATGCCTGGGGCAATGAGTTATGTGCTTTACTGGGGCAAATCTAGTTGGCTCTCGAGTGGATGGTGATGGAGGAAAGGAAATCCACCAGCTAATGGTGAGAGACTTATTGTGATGACTCGTGCCTGATGAAGGGGTCCTGTGAGACTTCCAAAACTTTGCACTTGCTGTAACTATGTGATTGTGTATTAAATCTTTGGACCTATAACTGGAGATCCTCGTGCTGGTGATGTTCTTCCCATCTCAGTTTTTATGTCTGACACACAGAAGTTTATGTTCTTCATGGGTACTCTGCACACAGGTTGTGCTGCATTGGGCTGCATCTTCAGGTTTCGCACAGCTCTATGTCTCAAGATCTGTAAATGAGATTCAATTGCATGGACTCTTTGGCCTTCCAGTGTGACTTTTATGGGTCTATTTACTAAAGCTGGAGAGTGCAAAGTCAGGTTCACTTCTGCATAGAAACCAATCAGCTTCCAGATTTTAATGCCAAAGCTTAATTGAACAAGCTGAGGTTAGAAGCTGTTAGGTTTCTATGCAGAAGTGAGCCTGATTTTGCACTCTCCAGCTTTAGTAAATAAACCCCTTAGTTTTGTCTGCCATATCTATGTTTCTAATGGCTGCTAAAGCTGCAAATTTTTGACTTGGCTCAGCACAGGTCAGGAAATCCTTGAAAACTGACATCTGCTGAATCAACATCATCCAATGCTAAAAGAGGTCCCTTTCGCTCAGGCATCATCCATTTTGTCTCGTTTTTTTGCTAGGAAAAATTGATTCAGTGTACATCAGTTAACATCCATATTCTGTTTAGTTATGTTCCGTTTACATCTGTTTTTCACCTGTTTACATCTGTTTCTCATCCGCTTCCTTTTTTGCAAATGGAACAAAAATGCAGACTGGTTAACAAAAACGGATTTGATTGGAAGCAGCTGAAAAACCGATGTAAATGGATGACCTCCCTTTTATATCCTTTTGCCCATAAGAATGTTTTGCTGTCAGTTTTTCATCTGTCAACAGAGAATGAAAAATGCACAGATGGAACGCCAATGTGAAAGGGGCATCCACTTTTGCTGAGTAAAAAATATTCCCCTCTGGGTGGTCTATTTACATTGCTGGCATTTTAACAAAATTTGTAACAGATTCCCACCTTGTTGCTCTGGAGAAATTGCTATTTTTTTCACCATGTCTTTTGCAGACTAAATCTGAATGGGGGGGCTGATTCATTATAATCACCTGCTGTTGTAATGACCTGCAGGACCTGCATCCTTTTAAAAGTATTTAACCCTTGGGAAGTATCTTACCAAAACTTTCAAATTTCAATTGCATAGGGTTTCATACTGCCAGGTTATCTGTGATTTTCCATAGACATCTATTAGAACAGGTGTTTTTAGTGTATTTTCTGAAAGTACACCAAAGATACAGCATGCAGGATTTTCAGTGCGCTTTCAGAAATTGCTTCTCCAGACCATTTCACGTCCGTCACATGTGCTCTCAGGGTGAACCTGCTCTCATCTGTGAAAAGCACAGGGTGCCAGTGGTGGACCTGCCAATTCTGGTGTTCAATGGCAAATGCCAATTGAGCTCTATGGTGCCGGGCAGTGAGCACAGGGCCCACTAGAGGACGTTGTGACCTCAGGCCACCCTCATGAAGTCTGTTTTTATTGTTTGGTCAGAGACATTCACACCAGTGGCCTGCTGAAGGTCATTTCGTATGGCTCTGGCAGTGCTCATCCTGTTCCTTCTTGCACAAAGGAGCAGCTATCAGTCCTGCTGATGGGTTAAGGACCTTGTACAGCCCTGTACAGCTCTCCTAGAGTAACTGTCCATCTCCTGGAATATCCTCCATGCTCTTGAGACACATCAAACCTTCTGGCAATGGTTCGTATTGATGTGCCATTCTGGAGGAGTTGGACTGCCTGAGCAACCTCTGTAGGGTCCAGGTATCTCCTCATGCTACCAGTAGTGACACTGACCATAGCCAAATGCAAAACTAGTTAAAATCAGTCAGAAAAGATGAGTAGGGAAAAAATTGTCAGTGGCCTCCACCTGTAAAACCATTTCTATTTTGGGGGTCGTCCCATTGTTGCCTATCTAGTGCACCTGTTGTTAATTTCATTAACACCAAAGCAGCTAAAACTGATTAACAACTCCCTCTGCTACTTAACTGACCAGATCAATATCCCAGGAGTTTCATTGACTTGATGCTATACTCTGATTAATAAGTTCTCCTTTAATTTTTTTGAGCAGTGTAGAAAGGAATGGAATGAAAACATAGTAAAAGAAAGTAAATGCAAGGGGCATGAAGAAAAGGAAAGGAAAAAGGAAAGGAATAAAACTGGTGAAAGTTTCCTTAACCCCTTCGCTCCGGCGCTTTCCTGCCCTTTAAGAGTTTCAGAAGCCAGGAGGCGGGGTGGGGTTTAGGGTCATGTTACCACCGTGACACGCCTTCACGGCGGTCACATGATCGGGAAAGGTCCCGATCGAAAGAGGAAATCGGGAACCTTTCCGTGAGTACCGGACATGTGTGCAGGGAGCGCACAGGGTGCGCGCTCTCAGCACATATGTTCTTTTTTAATAGAACGCAAATGTGCGACTGCTCAGCGTCTAGGCGCAGACGGTGGGAGGCCAAACATTTGCATTCCGCCGGCATGAAGAGGTTAATACTCTCTCGCACTTTGTACTGTTATACAGTTTGATATTCTGGCAGCCACCCTCTTCATTAACTAGTTGCCGACCGCAGATAGCCGAATGACGGCTTCACTGCGGCCGGCCAGTTCTGGGTGGACGTCATATTATGTCCCCCCAGAATGCGCTCTCCTGCGCGCCCCAGGGGGCGCGCACCCGGCGATCTCCGTGATCGCTGTGTCCTACGGACACAGCTGATCACGAGATGTGGTAAAAGGCCGATCATACCGGCCTTTTACCACGTGATCAGCGGTGTCCAATGACACGCTGATCACAGGGAAATGCAAGTGCCGGTTCTCGGCTGCACTTTCCTCACGCTGTCAGATCGTGAGGAAAGTACTGCCGAGAACCGGCAGTTGTCAGAGCGAGGATCGGCACCGATCGTCAGGGCCACTGATGATCAGTGCCCTGATGATCGGTGCCCAGCAGTGCCACCCACAAGTTCCGCCCACCTGTGCCCAGCAGTGCGCCCACTAGCTCCGTGCCACTGTGCCCAGCAGTGCACCACCTGTGCCCAGCAGTGCCACCTACCTGTGCCACTCTGCAGTGTCCACACACCTGTGCCCAGAAGTGCCACCTACCTGTGCCCAGCAGTGCCACCCACCTGTGCCCACCCACCTGTGCCACCACCTGTGCCCACCCACCAGTGCTGCCCACCAGTGCCACCCACCTGTGCCCAGCCCACCAGTGCTGCCCACCAGTGCCACCCACCAGTGCAGCCCAGCAGTGCTGCCAGTCAGTGCCACCAGTCAGTGCCCAGCGGTTGTGCAGTCAGTGCCCAGCAGTGATGCCAGTCAGTGCCATCTATCAGTACCCATCATCAGTGTCACCTATCAGTGCCGCCTATCAGTGCTGCATATTAGTGCCGCCTATCCGTGACACCTCATTAGTGCTGCCTATCAGTGCCGCCTATCCGTGCCACCTCATTATTACTGCCTATCAGTGCCCTTTAGTGCTGCCTATCAGTGCCCATCAGTGCCGCCTATCAGTGCCCATCAGTGCTGCCTCATCAACGCACATCAGTGAAGGAGAAAAAATACCTGTTTGAAAAATTTTATAATAGAAACAAAGAAACTTTTTTTTTTTTTTTTAATTTTTTGCACTTTTTTAATTTATAGCGCAAAAAGTAAAGTGCCCAGTGGCGATTAAATACCACCAAAAGAAAGCTCTATTTGTGAGAAAAAAATGATCAAAATTTCATATGGGTACAATGTTGCATGACCGCGCAATTGTCAATCAAAGTGCGGCAGCGCTGAAAGCTGAAAATTGGCCTGGTAAATAAGGGGGTATAAGTGCCTGGTAGGCAAGTGGTTAACGAAGATAACAGAAAGAGTTGGCAACCTCTCTATAATACTCCACCCTCCCCCCCAAACTATGACATGTGATGTGCCCCATTCAGGCTCTGCTCTCTATAATACTCCACCCCCCAACAATGACATGTGATGTGCCCCATTCAGGTTGCTCTCTATAATACTCTGCCGCCACCCCAACTATGACATGTGATGTGCCTCATTCAGGCTGTTCTCGATAATATTCTGCCCCCCCCAACCATGACATGTGATGTGCCCCATTCAGGCTGCCTCTCTATAATACTCTGCCCCCCCCCCAACTATGACATGTGATGTGCCCCATTCAGGCTGCCTCTCTATAATATTCTGCCCCCCACCTTTGACATGTAATGTGCCCCATTCAGGCCGCCTCTCTATAATCCTCCGCCCCCCCAACTATGACATGTGATGTGCCCCATTCAGGCTGCCTCTCAAAAATACTCTGCCACACCCCCATTTATGAACTTTGATGTTCCCCATTCAGGTTGCCTCTCTATTTAACTCTGCCCCCCAACTATGACATGTGATGTGCCCCATTCAAGCTGCCTCTCTATTTAACTCTGCCCCCCAACTATGACATGTGATGTGCCCCATTCAGGCTGCCTCTCCATAATATTCTGCCCCCCCCCCACCTTTGACATGTGATGTGCCCAATTAAGGCTGCCTCTCTATAATATCCCCCCCCCCCCCACACCTATGACATGTGATGTGCCCCATTAAATCTGTCTCTATAATATTCTGCACACCCTCCACCTATGACATGTGATGTGCCCCATTAAGGCTGCCTCTCTGATATTCTGCCCCCCTCCCCGTATGACATGTGATGTGCCCCATTAAGGCTGCCTCTCTAATATTCTGCCCCCCCCCTCCAACTATGACATATGATGTGCCCCATAAAGGCTGCCTCTCTAATATTCTGCCCCCCCCACCTATGACATGTGATGTGCCCCATTAAGGCTGCCTCTCTATAATACTCTGGTCCATTCAGCTCAGTTTTGCTCAATTTAGCTCAATTGTTCACAGATGTGAACCAACCCTAATCCCTTTATCTATGAAAACTATAAGCAACAAAAGTGAAATAAATTGATTAAAACCTTCTTTCTCACCCTATATATATATATATATATATATATATATATATATACACTGCAACATAGATGCTTACCAGTCAAAAGAAATTGGATTGCCAGCTTACTGGGACACCCCGCCATATGCTCTCCTCCATTCGGGTAAAAATCGAAATGTCCAATCGGTTTTGCTATACCAAGTCCTGGAATAAAGAACATGATACCAATTAACTTTTCATTGACTTGATGTTTATGTGGCACAGGACAGCCAGAGCTGAGCAGGTGACCAGGATGTCCCATTTGCTAACCTACAATTGGTCCAGATGGCAGCACTGCAGACACACGGATGGATGACACTTCATTTATGTTATCTGATTGATGTGCAATTCAATCAAAATGAGCCAATTGGCCACAGCAGAATATTATTGATTGTGTTGCCTCAATTGGTAGCACTGAGATGCTCGGTTCGTAAATCTGATAGTATTTCGATAGATCAGATCATGAGATTTCATGATGATGATATCTTCCAACTTTCGAACAAAATCTACTTCCCTGTGTGTGGCATATCGTTCAAATGTGTTATCAGCTATAGATTGATTATTCCTATCAGGAAAGATTGTTTGGAAAAGAAATAGATAATTTATGGAAGCGTGTAAGGCCACCGTAAGAGACAACAGCCCAACACAACACACAATCAAACTCTGTACCATATTATCTGGCACCATCAAATATGTATTTTTCATCTGAACATTCTTTGTACAGAAACCGGTTCCAGTTGCCCAACTAGCTTTGTAAAGCTGTTTCATTGTCCTTCTGGGTTGTGACCTCAGGAATATCTTTTTGCCTTCCATTCTTTCTTACTTCCCCCTGACCCTGTCCTATTTTTCAGATTTGTTTTGTTGCTGGGGCTGATCTAAACATACATGGAGCTTCTGCAAAATGACAGCTGAAACCTTCTAATGTAATGGAAACTGCAAGTCATGCACAGTGCACCTCACTGGAACTTCTGATAAGATGAAAAACAGAGGAAATAAATAGGTAAGGGTGGGGATCTATAACTTTATTTGACTTGATAAGGTAAATGTGAGGTTTTATTTTAAAAGGGTCAACACAGACTTTGTGTGCACCAGCCACTGTATTAGATCCCATAAGCTGGTGCAAGAGAGGTTCCAACAATAAATACCCTTATGTATCCTGAGATTTTTTTTTTTACTTTGACAACATAGTACACCTTTAACCACCTTAGTACTGTGCCATAGCCAAAGCTACAGCGTGGCTCTTGTTCTGGGAGGGTATCCATGGATGTCCTCTCAGAATGTGCCTCCCATGAGCCCCCTGGGCCTTTGGACACAGCAGGTTACAGATCGAGGTAAAGGGCCAATCACAGCGGGCCCTTTATCATGTGATCAGTTGTGTCCAATCACAGCTGATCCCATTTAAACAAACTTGTCAGTTACTAGCATTTCTTTACCTAACGTCACTGTGTGAGGAAAGGAGAGACGATAACCGGAAAAAACTAAAAAGAAAAAAGAGAAATATCCTACTAGGTCAGAAAAAGTATATATTTTATACTAGCAGATATCCTCAGGGTGGGGGTCATCTACAATGCGCACAATTCAGAAAACATACCATAAAAACAGACTTATAGCTCTAACCAATCCCAAACTCTATACCAATGTTAGTTTTAATTAATTTAAAAATAATGATGGTGAAAGTTAACAAAATAGAGATTAATCCCCGACAGATGTCCTTATAAATCTTTATTAACACTTTTAAAAAGAGATAACCATGAAGCAGGGGCAGACTGACCATTCGAGCACTCGGGCACTGCCCGAGGGCCCGGGGTTAGTAAGGGGCCCCATGAAATACCCCTGGTACCTTTTATAGGATTTTTTTGAGTGTGGGCATGGACACAGGGGCCACATGATCCCCTATTGCCCGGGGGCCCCATGAGTTGTCAGTCTGCCCCTGCCATGAAGACATACAACAAATGGTACCTAGTGCCGATAACTGGCAAGGCTAACAGGGCACATATACACTGATCATCAGTGTAGTCCCATCAGTGCTGCCTATGAGTGCCCATCAGTGCACCCTTGTCAGTGCCTCCTTATCAGTGGCCAACAGTGCAGCCTCATCGGTGCAAATCAGTGCAGCCTCATCAGTGCCCATTAGTGCAGCCTCACCATTGCCCATTAGTGCAGCTTTATCAGTGCCCATCAGTGCAGCCTCACTAGTGCCCATCAGTGCAGCCTCATCAGTGCCCATCAGTGCAGCCTCACCAGTGCCCATTAGTGCAGCCTCATAATTACCCATCAATGCAGCCTCATCAGTGCCCATCAGTGCAGCCTCATCAGTGCCCATCAGTGCAGCCTCACCAGTGCCCATCAGTGCAGCCCCATCAGGGCCCATCAGTGCAGCCACATCAGTGCCCATTAGTGCAGCCTCATAATTGCCCATCAGAGCAGCCTCACCAGTGCCCATTAGTGTAGCCTCACCAGTGCCCATCAGTGCAGCCCCATCAGGGCCCATCAGTGCAGCCTCACCAGTGCCCATTAGTGCAGCCTCACCATTGCCCATTAGTGCAGCATCATCAGTGCCCATCAGTGCAGCCTCACCAGTGCCCATCAGTGCAGCCTCACCAGTGCCCATCAGTGCAGCCCCATCAGGGCCCATCAGTGCAGCCTCACCAGTGCCCATTAGTGCAGCCTCATAATTGCCCATCAGTGCAGCCTTATCAGTGCCCATTAGTGCAGCCTCACCAGTGCCCATCAGTGCAGACCCATCAGGGCCCATCAGTGCAGCCTCATCATAAGTGCCCATCAGTGCAGCCTCATAAGTGCCCATCAGTGCAGCCTCATAAGTGCTCATCAGTGCTGCCTCATGAGCGCACATCAATGAAGAAAAAAAAATTACTTATTTACAACATTTTATAACAGAAAGTAGGAAAAACTTTTTCCCCCCAAAAATGTCAGTCTTTTTTCATTTGTGTAGCAAAAAATAAAAAACCCAGTGGTGAGTAAATACCACCAAAAGAAAACTATCTGTCTCAAAAAAGGATAAAAACTTAATTTGGGTACAGTGTTGCATGGTAGTTGTCATGCAAAGTGTGACAGAGCTGAAAGCTGAAAATCGTCCTGGGCAGGAAGGGGGTGAAATGTCCAGTACTGAAGTGGTTAATCCTGCCTTGTAGCTTGGCGCATGCATATTTTCATTGCTTAGTAAGCCAGTCAATTAGGTTTTGTTCCTTATGTTATTATTACATTTATATTAAATGCTGAGATGAGCATTTGGTGGTTTAGCTGATTAGAACATATGGCACAAATCAGCACTATTG